GCAAATTTTGAATACCTCGCTTTAAAGGTCAGCTTCAGGTCTGAACTCGTAGCAATGGAACAATTTGAGAAGTTTTAACATCAAGAGCATTTGTGACATGTGACCACCATTTTGGAAATTATCAGACATAAGTTAGCAGAGACCAGGCTCCTTCGAATGGATGCTAAATGGCCTGACACAGAAAGCTTCAGAGCATGGAAATGCGGTAAGCAGAGTTTGCAAGTTGTACCGTCTCTAAGTGGAGAAGTCACAGTTGCTGAACACGTGATCAAAACGGCAGAAGAGAATTGCAATACCCGCAGTCTGGTAAATCCACGCGAGTGACTGTCAAGGAGCAAACCGTGAAGTGGAATATACCGAGAATATCGATAACCTGGCATTGTTACGTTATGGAGTCTAGCTCACGGAGGTTTCCTGGTTGACGTAGAGCGGGGGCCATTGAAGAAACGACCTAAACCTGAAGCTTTCATCAACAACAGTGAATAGCGGCCAATAGAAATGAATGAATTAATTAGGAGCCATGGCAATCTCTACCTAGCTTCTTTCCATATTTGTACGTAGATGCGCAGATTAGCACAATTTGTCTGTGTTCCCCTCTAACACCTTACGCAATGGAGTTTCGAAAAAACTCACTAGAGTTGCTGGAGCGGTGGTCATAACCACCTAGAAGCAAGGGTGCGGTGCAACAGCGTCGCATAATCCTGTGCAATGAATCGTATCGTCATTCCCGAAGGCAATATTAATGCATATTAACCTGGAGCTGTCAGTCATAACTTTGAAAATACTTATGTAAGCAATCGGTTTGTCACCTTCACCGTCACGCGCACTTGTGGATGAAAGCAATGAACCTAAAATTGCACTTGTGCTGGTATTTGCATTTCGCCATTGTTGATTCATACTCTTCTAACATCGATGTTCATCATGATGAATCTTAACAACGGAACTTTAATAATTGCTTATGCCTGTATTATTTAGCAAGGCGACTGCTTCAACCTTCCTCATTAAAATTTGAACCTGTATGATCAAGTTAGTAAAACTTGGGATGTTTCCTCACCCTATATCAGTGGAACGAAATCGTTTTCAACTTATTAGACTAAAAGACGAGTAGTGGATATGCTAGTGTGCTGCCCTGGATATAAGCTGGTTTTCAAATTGTGCTTGTTCACCGCAAAGTTAAAGTAATACAAGCGTTTTGAATTGTGCCTCTGTCATTACCATTACCTGATAAGATGTAAGTCATTGAGGCTATCAGCGTACGAATGTCCTTCCGTAAAAATCCAAAGAACGACAGTGCTACTGATGACGTCGTCAGGCAAAGACTAACGATGTGCAGGATCACCGCCAGCTGCATCTCGTCTAAATGCAAGTCCGTAA